TTCTTATATTTTAGCTGTACCGCATTAGCCTTCGAGCAGAAGAAGCTGAGTTTCTTTCAAAACTTTACAATCTTTGATACTGGTGGAAAAAGGGCTGTGTTGTTGGAGGTGCAAAATCTTTTGTTTTGGTAGACGTGCATAAACAATTAAGTTTAAGCCTGGACAGATTCGAGTATATATGTGCAAATGGCAGACCTGTGACTTCCAATACGATAATCCAGAGGAATTATATGACCACGTGAAAACAGTACATACTTCTCAAATTGGTAAGCAGTTTACTTGTAGTCATATATTTTCGAATATTAAATAGAAGCTGGCGTAGAGGTTTTGTTGCAGAGGGAATGCTTATAAGTGTGAGTAGGAAAATTGTAAAAATTTCGAGGAGTTGATAGTTTTAGTTTTCAAGCTATGTTTGGTTGGGTGAGAAAGTCCCATATTTTATGATTCATTTTTTTTTTCAGTACATTTGTTCTTATTCATAATTTCTTTGCAGTTGTTGATGGTGAAAATCAATTTGTGTGTCTATGGACATCATGTTTAAAGTACAGGAAAGATGGAAAGTGAGTGATTTCCTGCAAATACTGTTTTAGCATACTAATTGGTGCAGCTCGATTCTCTGTTTGTAATGTTCATTGATGTAATCACTTTTTTTTATTGCTTTCAGACCGTTCCCTTCTCTTCCACGTCTTCATCGACATATTAAGGAGAAGCATCTAGCAACATCGGCAAAATCAATATATCCAAATCAGAGGAGCAAGTAATCCTAAATCTTATATAGTAGGCTGTGTCGAAAAATTTTCCGAGGTCTTCATCTTTGTTTTTGAAATTTGTGTTTATCAAAGTGAGAAATATCCAAAGAAATTTATAGAAATTACATACCGACTTATGTGCCTGGTTCGTCTGCCTCATCAGTTAGTTCTGGAACAACAACATTCGTAGCCGTTCAGCAACCAGCAAATGGAACTCAACAAGTTCATCAAACATACACAATTCAACAAGCGCCATTAACATATGTTACTCAGGTGAGGCAGTCAAGAACTACTTAGTTCTTGCTACTGTTCGTATAACAATTGTAATTTTTTGGTTTACAAGTTAGCAATGGGTTTTTTTGTGCCTTACTCGAGTAATACCGTTTACTGTGCTTGTTTATTAGCATTGCCCGGTATTCCGGAGATCTTATATTTTGAAGTTAGTACTGGTATTATTTGGCAGCATAACTCGTGATGACGGATCTGGAGTCGATCCTTGTTGTCCTTGTTATCTTGTTTTACCTGTATTATTTGTTGTATTGAATCACCTTAATGTCATCAATACTTTCAGGCAGTAGTTTCAACTCATCAGATTGTTGCCAATGGATACGTGAATGGGACTGCAGTAGCTGTCGCACCAACGGCTTATTTGGCAGCTACACCAACCGTCGTTCATACCAGTTCTCATGGTTACCATCCATATCATCAAGTACGGCAGGTAAATTTTTATGATTTTTATAGTTCAACAAAATTCGGGCATTTCACTGTAGACATGCTCTTGAAACTGCATTCAAATATAATCCATGAAATTCCATTATTTTCCAGAATACCTAGGGTTCCTTTGATTTCTTTTGAATGCGTTTAAAATGATAAGATTTCGGTAACATGGCATAAATCTGACTCTACGCTTCTTTGTTTACGAATATTTCTTCTGTCCATATGCTTCTTTACCTGTCTGCTGGGCACTTCAAGTAGCGATGATGTAAATGAGAATGCCAGAAGTTTTGCGGATGTTCCATTTTTGTTTGGATGCAGATTCTTTTCGTAATTGGCAGTACTCCGATGCAAACTTCATAGCGAGAAATCATTTGTTATTGATGTCTGTGACGATTTTTGCGATTTTACGTCTTTATCCATATCCCACCGTGCATACTGCATAATTTAAGGCTTTGAAATGTTTATTTTGTCAGATTTGAGGGATAAAACATTGTGTCTCGTCGAATGGATGAAACATTCATTTATGACGCCGCCACTGAAAAGGAATTCTGCAGTTAGATATTCTCTTTCATGAAGAGTTGGACGGCTGTAGTACTTTGATCGCATTTTTTGTGTCGCTTCCCCGCTTGCCAGACTTTCTGACTATAGTAAATGTTTTTCTTCTGTAGCGGTTGTCTCAACAATGGCAGAACAAAACAGTGGTATGGTGTATACATGTATATATAGCCGTTCATATATATATATATATATAGTTTGATTAAACTTCGACCTTCAAAGTGTTTTCAAGAACGGGATAAATGCATTACTTTAATAGGTGCGAGCACAGATTTGGCCCTATTCATTTTTCGACTCTCATTTGGATAAACTTGTTTGTTACACAATTCTTTCGATTTTTCGATAATAAGAACCACGTGCAGTCAAGTTCGGGTTGCCGAACAAATTGATTTTTGTTACTTCATCTCGATCATGTCACGTGCAATAATCTTGTAGGCATTTCCACTTTCTTCCGTTATTTTTCTAGAATAGCCTGAGGGAAAAATGGGAATTCTCAAAAACTCCCTTATTCTACTTCTACAGTGACATAGTCTATTTTCATTAGGTTACGGCATCGACCACACAACCAATTGCTGTAGCAGCGCAGAACTACACAGCAGTACCACTGCAGACAGTGAGCTACACGGCACCATCTACCTCACAACAATCATCTCCTGCTATAACCGATCCAGGTCGAACTGTTGTTCAAGCTCCGAAACCAGCGCAACCTGTATTTGTTGCTCCACCAAATACCGTACAAATCAAGAGGGTTATGCATTCCGAAGTTTATCTAAAGTATGTTCTAGCTTTCTTTTTCCGGTTTTCCATATTCGTTATTACTTCAAACTCGCACATTCAAAGCTTATGAAGTTGTTTGGTGTTTCCCTTGGTTGCGAATAATTTCTTCAATTGTATATGTCACTGCCAATTAAGTTGTTGGTCGTTTGACGACACGAATCGTCGTAATAATTATGGCTGTAGGGTACTGCATGTAGATTGGTAGATGAGTCACAAAAAGTAAGGCGCATCATTATAATGTTGAGTTTCAGATACATCGAATCTTTATCAACCAGTCAGCAAAGAACTGTAAGTAAATATAGCAGGAGTTTACTGGCGAACCAAAGGAATACAACGCCACCGCAGAAAATTTCTACGACGCAGTGGCTAAAAGTGAGCTGCCTTTATAGGTTCTTAATGCCTGTTAGTGAAGTTTTTTAATGAAGCTTTCTGCTAAACCCAAACAGATACTTAATGAATTTTCAAAGGTTCCCGGTATTTCAGGAAGCCAAAGACAATGGTGTCAGGGATGAAGAAGTGGTGAAAGCATTATGGCGGCTTCGTGATGCTTTATTAGAAAGTACGGTGAATATAGCACGTGAAATGGATTGTACTGGTCCATTATAAGTTATTTTTTTTTCTTCAACAAGATAAACTTAATATGTTAAAATCATGGTAGTTTATCCTTGGTTTTTATTGTTACTTATCATTTATCTTCCTTTGATTTGTATATTTACGTATGTGTATTTCATGATGCTTTAAACAATTATATTACTTTGCTATGAGATGTTTGCTGTTTAGAGGAATCTCATAGTGTGATGTTATCTATATCAGTGATACGCAACTGCGTACTGAGCATAACCATCGTGTATTTAATCCGGGTTGGCTCTTTCAGTTCTCAGGTCAGTGTATCCGTTATATTCGTGAACTGTTAGAAAGGCTTTTCACTGTTCTAAGTGACTTATCCAATTTCGATGTCCATTTCGATTTTGGACTTCAGTTTCATTTTCCTCCCAAGAAGCACCCGGTTCTAGCTCGAATTTCTTTTTTCTTTTCGAACTTGATTGTGTTAGGTGCGTAACGAATGTGTGGTTTTCAAAGTTATCTTGCATTTGAGGAAACTCTTTGGAGTTTTCTTGATTTGGGTTCGTTTTTTCTAGAATGTATATGTTTAATACTTGTTTGTAGTGAAATATCAGATAGGAAATGAATTTGGTGATATTTGGAGCAGAAATTCTTGAGCGCATTCGGAGTTTTCACGAAAATAGATGTTCTGTCGATATTAATAATAAGTAAAATTCAAGGTGAAAATGAAGGAAGGGTTAATTATATAGCTTTCCATGGATATTTTTATACTTTTGCATAGCGAATCATTAATGGAAATAAGAATAGGTCAATTCTTGTGGTTTATCATTTTTCCCAGTTCCATAAGATGGATTTCTCGTTGTATCATTGCGTTTAATTTGTCTACTTTTTTTTTTGTGCATGGTCTCATTACTTTAATTCTTGTCTGTTTCTCTAGAAAAAAGAAAAAAAAATGACGAAAAGTAAACAATTTTATCCATCGTTACCTGTAAATTATAGTTAAGAACAAAACAGTGCATACAGATGTCTTTCATGCTATTAAAGACTACTAATCATCGGACTTCCATTCGTTTCGGAAACATATGGATTTGTATTCAGCGAATATCTAAACGGACCGTAAAATTAATAAGTCTGATTTAATAAGGAGAGAATTTGCAGCGAAGAGGTAGTGCTGATGTATCAGTAATGGAATTGAATATTGTCATGTTTTTGTTCTTGTCATAACGTAACAGATATCAACTTCATTATCTTTTCTGTATCGCGGAGAGTCTTCTAATATTTGCCCAAAATTTAAGTTTTGAAAATCCAAAGCAAATTTCCCATATTTGAAGGTCTTTCAGGCGCCCATATATAAATAATGACGTAATTATCGACATTCATGCGCTTTTTTTTTCAATAAATTAGATTATATTGAGACTCTTGAAAGGATGAGTTTTCGAAGTTGGGGAATTTATAATTATAATCAAGCAGATCGCAGCTTACATGCAGTTAACATGGGGATAGATAGATCTGGTGATGGAGTAGGAGTAGGGATATTAAAAATTGAAATTGAGATGAAATGAATTTGTCGAAATTAGTAATAGTCCAGTTGAGTATCAAAATTATCAAATGAGTAAGAAGAGGGAAATGAAATATGTCGGAAATAAAGCTGAAGTTAGTGAGGACTGTCAAACTTTTTTCACAAGAAAAATGTAATCAGACAACAGATTTTTTAGCAGGAGAGAAAAGATCAATGCCAATATAAAGGAATATGTGGAACATTTGGTAAAGTTACATTTCCACTTTTTTTTTGGAAAGTATATAAATTTTTGTTTTTTGAACTAATAACTTGTACTGAAAATTTTTTAATCAGAGCCAGCAGATGGTTAAAATTTTATGATAAATTCATAATATTAGAAATGAAAGATATAAATATTTGGGATGTATCGAGTCTTTTTATTTTCAATTGTTCTCATATTATTCCGTAAGATAAAATAACGAGGATAAAATATCATAAAATATAGGCTTGAAAATTTCGCACATATTAACAGAAGAAAAATATTCCATTAAATTTTGAGAATGTATTTTTTTTTTTTAACTGGCAAGCATAATTTCTTATATAAAACAATTAATACAGCCTCAGAAAGCTTAGCAAACGATTCCTTTTTTTTATAATTCCTTATAACCATTTTCTTATAACGTTATAACCATTTTTATAGCTTCTTTGAATTTATTTAACCATTGATGGAAAAGATTAGATTTCACAAATTGTTTTTTTTTTCTTAATTTAAACTGAAATATAATTTCAGGACGATTCTTCTTTACGATCATTATACATGAAGATGAAATTGATTATCTTTGATTAAATTTTCAAGCATTTCATTTGTGCTTATAGTTTTCTGTGTTACAAATAATTATTTCAAATTTTTGCTTAAATTTTAGGGTGTAAATTTTACTTTACAAGGGAAGAAAAAAATGCTATAACACAATAATATCAATTTACTTACAAAAAAGCAAATTACTTCATTGCAAAAAAAATTACTCAATTTATATCTATTTCAGTGATTTTATTATTAAATTTAAATTTTAGTTTTAATTGTCGACATTGTTGTTATTTTTATATGAACATAGATTAAAATTCAATGTAAAGTAATTCTTGATTGATTTACATTTATGTAGAAGGCATTTTATTTATCAAAACGGTTAATTCGCAATAACAAAGGAAAAAATGTTAGGAAAGGTTAAGAAAGAGAAATGAAAGGAGAAAAAAGCTGTTCACGAGTTTGTTGATATTTTCTGTATGTTGTGATTTATTTGGAAAATTTAAAAAGAACAAGGCACTAAATCGGGGAAATTTTATAAATATAATTGAAACTGGTTCTTTTTATCAATAATTTTAATTAATAAAAATGTTAATTTATTGCGCACATATATATATATATATATATATTAATACTGAACTGAATAAAACTGAAAGATTAAAATGTATGCGATAATCCGGTCATTTCCGAATGGCTTCTTTTTTTTTTAATCATGTTATGTTTATAATTTGTCTCGTTTTTTCTCGCTTTTCTCCTATCCCTTATTTGTTATCATCCATTGTTTTTTCACCTTTTTTAAAATAAATTTCAAATATACTCGTCTCAAATATATTTCATCTTTTTCCCAAGAAATGCCTTTTTTGAATAAATTTTATTTTTTTTATTTCGCTGTTATCCAAAAGAAAAGAACCGAATTACGCCAAAGATTATGCGTCAGCAAATTTGTAATTTCTTGGGAATATCTTGCGCAAAGAAAAATTTCATTGCGCTCCCACTCGAAGTTCCGTTAAATTTTGCTACGCACATCAGAGTTGTCCGCCTTAAATTTGGATAATTAAACCATTATAGGTAAGGGAGTAAGTGTTGATGCAGCGTAATCATTAAAAATTGTAAAACACAAATCGACGCGTAAAGGTAAGTTCCAAAACGTCAAATGCTACAATCAATCAACTTCATTATATTAGAAATCTCAAGGTAACAGTGATTATGATTCCATCAATTAATTGAGAATTATTAGAAATTCCACTCTAAGTAAGGTTGGATATGAAATAATGATTAAGATTTCACCAATCAATTAAATATTATGCGCCAAAGGGACTTTATTGCCCTGTCCCTTTTCAACTTGATTTCCGTCGGTCCAGATTTATATTTCTTTAGAAACATTACTCTTACTTTATTGCAGTACTGTTATTATAGAATTCTTCCTTTTCACTTCTAATAATTCCAGTGATATTTCGAGACGACGGTTTCTTCATTCTTTTAAATTGCAATATTTTTATCGAAACAACAGATACCACTCGGAGCTTTGTGTGCGAGTGGTAACGTGCAAGACTCCATTAAATTCATCTGAGTTACTCAATATTTCTTTTTCATTAGTTGATAGTTTCATATTTGAAAAAAAGGAAGGAAAAATACCCCTCAAATAAGCAGCACTGAAGGGTAAAATTTTGTCCATAAAAGATAATTCCAGAATATATATCCACGATTGCGTGGTAAAAGAATATCATGTTTAAGTTTCATCCTGGTTTAATTCGTTTTCTTAGGTTTTTCATAATAGTTCAAGACTCGAGTATCGTCCTTGAAACAAAGTTATGGTTGGATTTTTGGCAGTCCATGTAACCCTTGAATTTTGGTAGTCCAGATAACCTTCGTAAAATGTATGTGTAAAGATATGACCTTGAGTTGACAGCTGCAATGTGACTTCCATGTTCGAATTTTCTTTCCGTGAACTTTTTTCCCCCATTTTATGAGTGACCTTTTGTTATTTAGCAAATTGGATCTCCTTTTTTTCAAACAAACAGAGTCGGATTGGAATAATGTACTTCTTCATTTCTTGTAAATGGGAGATGAAATAAATGCGAACTTTGAAGAAACGATGAAGACGACTTTAGCGAAATGCGTTATTAGAAGGCAATTTAAAATAGAAGAAAATGACCTAATGACAAATCTACTATAAAACAAATGACTACCTTAGAGCTTCCTTCTCGAAACCTTCATATCGTCTGTCCAAAAATACCGAACATCTTTGATCAAACCTGTATCATTATCAGCTGTAAATGTTTCTGCACCAGAGAGGATAAATCCGCAGATACTTCATGATAATGCATGCCTTTTTCAGTCGATTCTTTGAATAATTTGGAGAGAAAAAATGATTAATACTTTTATTCCCAAACAGATAACCATTTTAGCTAAAAATTTCCAGGCAACAAGTCAAAAATTAAAGAAATATGAGAAATAAAGATACTGCTGATTAAAAAGGTCTGTAACTGAAAATTTAAATTTTCATTGAAGCTCCACAACATCCAAAAATGATAATTTTCTTTTGCAAAATGCAATTATCCGAAAGTAGATCCATTAAAAGCCATTGAAGACGCAACGATATCCACGAACTCGATATAGCATCTGAAAAACAATTTCTAATTTTTCTCCCAATTTGAGCGGAAAACTGCTAACAGCAGTAAGGACTTTTCTTTTTTTTGGGGGGTAACAGCAAATTGATAGTTCATTGGAAAAAGACCATAAGATCAATATCTATGAGGAAATAAAATCATCCAGTCTTAAATCAAATATGAGAGATATTCTTGGGAAATGAAAGATGACCAGCAACGAGTAGCACAGAATATTAAAAACTCCCGGGAATTCCTTGCGGTTGTATAGTAATCGGGAAAATCTATAAAACCTGACTTTAACTCCAGTATGGGATGGAAAATGAGTGCAATCATCGGAATAATAACCAACGAAGAGCGTCAAGTAGGTAATAAAGTATGCGGAGGAACTACTTAATCCTACGTAGAGGATAAAACTAAGCTTTTCAGATACTACAAGCATTGAGGCCTCTGAAAGCAAGATAAAACCGAAGATGGAACAACTAAAAGGAACTAAGCAACTAATTGCCAATTTTTCTTCTTGATGTGTAAAAAAAATTAAATTTGAACCGATTTTTTGGAATTTTCAGCTCATCAGCGAGCAATTTGTACAGTTTATCAGCGTGTGAATTATTGACGCTAGGACCAACACAACCGATTGATTTCAAAACACACAAAGCACATGGATCCGCACTTCCTCCAAATACCATAGCCTGTCCACCGGTTGCATGAACTGATACATACTAAAAATAAAGAGGAGAAAATACAATATACATGAAATATATTCACCTATAATCATCATTTTTACTAGCTTCCTCCGATTCTCATCATTTAAAAAATCCGTAATGTTATTCCAGTATTTATTGTATTATTAGAATTGGAAATGAAACAAACAACGGGATATAAAATTGGATATGTTTGATGTTTCTTTCAATCTTTATATGACATTTAGTCCAACTAATTTTAATTAATGTTTTTGTGGAAGAATTAAAGATGGATTTAGTATTTTATTGACTTTTTCTGACTTTCCCACTTTTCCTCTCTCTCTCTCCCTTCCAACAATTTCAGGTTTCATTGTAGAAAAAAAAAACAATGTAACAGTCAGAAATTTACTTACACTTTCCGGTTTTCCAAGTGCTTTTGCAACCGTACTTGATGCCTTCTTTAGGAAATCAATCGAAATACGATCCTGCGGTATGTTTGTACTAATCGTAAAAGTTGGCATGTTTTCCGGAATTCACACTTTTCTAAACAGCTGAAATTTGTTAACAACATTAGTAAATTAGGAAACATGAAACGGATTAAAAACTTTAAGCTTCAGGAATAACAAAACAATAACCGGATTGCAGTCCCTTCCATCCGGCAACCAACCTTGAGAAATATGTACTATACAACTCTGATAGCATACTGCTGAACTATAAAAGATGAGCTAGAGTTTCAGGCAATCAGAGGAAGAAAGAGAAATGGGCAAGCAATGGTATGAAAAAGATGTTGTTAAAGTAACGAAGAGAGAGAAAGAGGGCATGACAAGAAGATATTGGTAGAGAGAAAAACAAACGAGCACGCCAATCGATGATGTGTATGTGTGTCTGCCCATTGTGAGCATTACTGTTCGATAATATCATTCTCTTCCCGCCTTTTTAGGGGCAACAAATTTTGCACAATTTTTAAATTATTTTAAACTTTGGGAATTCCTAAAATTTTCAAAAAATTTCAAAATTGAAATTTTTGAATCGAAAAAAAATTTTTTGAAATTTCAAAAAATTGAAAATTTTTAAAGCAACAAATACATATGCAAAAGATGCAAATAATGAAAGAGAGAAATGTGTTGCTACGTGAGTGAAACATTTGAATTCACCTGAACACCTGAATTCCGCTAATTATTTTTTCAAATTGCATTAGTGTCATCAAATTGTCATCAAAAATATACCGTCACAGAAATGCAGGCATACTGCTATCAAGTGTATCGCCATGCAGGTATACTGTCATCAAATTGTCATCAAGTACATTGTCATGTAAATGCAAATATACTCAAATTACCATCAAGTATATATAGTCATCAAGCATATATGGTCATGGCAATGCATTGTTGTTGTTGTTGTTATTACTGTTGTTGTTGTTATTGTTATTGTTGTTGTTGTCGTTGTTGTTGTTGTTGTTGTTGTTGTTGTTGTCTTGCTGTTGTTGTTGTTGTTGTTGTTGTTGCTTCTGCTGCTATCCCTATTGCTACCTACTATCCCTGCTGTTATTACTGTCGTTACTGTTGATGTTTACTGTACTTTATTCAAATATATTTTAGTTACTATAATCTTCGCAATTAAATTAACTTAAAATTTAGGAAGGATTAAGCAATTCATACTACAAATGCTTCAGTTATTTTGATAGATAAGCTATTATATCGTAAAATTGATTTAATTTGGCTTAAATATCGCTAAAATTGCATAAATGGTTAATTAGCATGACAGAATAGTCACCTGAACGAATATACAAAATTAATTTGAACGGTTAATGAGTTAATTAATTTACACCTTGTCCATCCTTTTTTTATAAAAAAAAATGCAAAATTGAAAAATAGTCATATTTTAATGAATTTTTCATCATCATCGTATATTTGGAAAGCAAAAAATTGCGATAACATAACAATATCGATCAAGCTTTGTAATGTATGCATGAGGATTAGTTTGATATGCATCTAAAATTATTTTTAAAATTACGGTATTTGTAATTTATCTCCAAAATTGTGGCATTTGTAAACAGTATCCATATAATGTAATCCCACAAAAGTAAAAGGAAAACGGATATGGTACGCCTTAAAATGGGTAAATTAACTTCTCCGATAAATCGAACCCCTGATAGATTAAATTTTTTCCCTACAATATTTAAAAAAAATGCACTATAAAAAGCATACATTCAAAATATTCGTTTTCTTCCTTCTTTCATTAAAACAAAAACAAAAAATGAAAATATTAATTGAATCAAATGTAAATGTAATAATTTGAATGTAGAAGATTATTCCTTAAAGATTTGGAACAAACTCTTTATCCATCTAGAATTATGGCTTCTAATATAACGAAGAAAATTAAATTTATTAAAAGAAACTTCTTTTTCCGAAATACAAATAAAAACGCGTATCAGCTTTTGCAAAATAATAAATCAGAAGCGAGAAGATTCCCATAGATGGTTGATTCTGAGAGAAGATTCCACTAAATGATTGATTCTGAGAGAAGATTCCATAAATGACTGATTCTGAAAAATTCCAAAATTATATCACCATTAACAACCTTTATCATAAGCATATCCAACAAGCATTTCATTGATTCTTCATGTTAATCATTTATCATCATGTTTCTAACGAAAAACTATGGCATAGGAAATTGATTATTATTGATGGAAAAATCGATTAAAAAACTAAAACTAAAAGATTTTATTCTTCTTCCTTCAACAACAAAATTAAAACTTCATTATGTTAAAATTAAAAATGTATACTTTCATAAAATAAATTATTAGCATAAAAAGCTAATTGTTGAATTGTTTTAGCATTTTTACATAAATGAATCTATTGCTAAATTACCTGTTATGTATGATGTGATGGTTATATTACGTCAACGAACGAATTGCCCATGGAAATTGTAAAAGACTGATAAATAATTGAAAAATTGTTTCAATTATTTTGTGATTCTTTTCGATACGATTATTAAGATTATATGCAATTATTATATACAGTAATACTATTAAAAATAATAAAGAGATGTTACTGTATCCGGAATTTTTCTTTTTTTTAACAACCGTTAAATTTTATTCAGGTAATGACATTTCACGATCTTATTACAAAAGAAAATCCAATTTAACTGAATAACTTTCACTTTGCTAACTGTTTATACCTTCTTTTTTTTTTTTTTATCCTATCTTTGTGATTAAAAAATAATTTTTTTGCAGCTTTCAAACATATTACAAAATATTAGATTGTGACATTTTTCTTATCTCAAAATTATAACAGTTTATAATAGCAAAACTAATTTGCATACTATTGTTGTATGTAAAATGCTAAGCTTCTTTAAAAACTGTTTGTTCAATTAACTCATTTTTTGAATTTTTTTTAATTCATTCTTTAAAAATTTTTTTTAAATTAACTCAGTTTCAGTTAACTCATTTTAACTCAACCCATTCCAAAATATTTATTCCCATTCTCATCGGTAGTTTTCAAGTACTAAAAAAAGACACTAATTATTTTGAATCCTCAAATATTAAAAAAGACACTAATTATTTCGAGCAAATTTTGAAATAGTAAGAAAAAAGGTCACAGATAATTTCTCATAAACTATAAAAATTACATTTATAAATGCTTAATGACAATGGTGACAGAAATGAGAATAAATATGCATATTTTGAGATATGCCATCACGAAGAGAACAAATTTTGCTATATTTATAAATCATCAAACAACTGCAATGCAAGCATATTCATCCCTCCATCGATACAAATTTTGAAAATTTCTCAAGAATGAAAACATCATTAAACAACTTGATGATGTAAGGAAAAGGATTTGAATTAAATACTGATCAATGATGTGAATTATAGATATGCTTAGGTTGAGGTTTAATTTTTTCTTTTGTTAAATTACACTTTGACAAACTTCAACTCATAACCACTAGCTCTAGGTTGTAAAATTATACTGCTAGGTTAACAACAATATTTATCTTCTTAGATTCAGAATACATGGATTTTGGAAGATAATTGAATTTGATGTTAATTAATTTTTATTTTCAAATTTTAGTTATTGCATGCTATTTTGATACTACTTAACTTTTATTTTATGTTCCTTTTTTTTAATTATCTTGTCTTTTCCATGTTATTTAATAATAATTAATTTTATGTCCACTTTTTTCTATTCACTTT